TTCAGCAGTATTAGCACCAGTTAGTGCTGGAGAATGTGCCCTGTTGCATGTTGAGACCATCCCATGCAGTCTTCAGCAGAAGTGCCTGGCCCCTCCACGCTACAGCTGTGCTAACTGCTGTGACAACTACCATGTCTCTATCTGCTGCTGTGAGCCTGATCCTTCCTAATCAGGAGTCAGCCTTTCCCAGCAGTAGCCCAGATCCAAAGATGACAGAAGAAGCTCCCAGCAGAACTGGTAGCAGAGCCTAGAAACTGCTGTGCAAACTGATAGCAGCCCCTGCAGTGTAGGGCACGCTGCACCACAAACTGCCCCTGCTAATAGCCGTGCCCGTTTGCAGCGCTCTTGGTTGCTGTGCAACCTGGGGAGCAACTAAATAACAGAATCATCTCATGCTTTGTAGAAGCTAGGGAATTTCGATGTTTGGAGGATGTAATCTTTTTCTTGTACTTGTAGATGTTTTGTATACTGAAAAAGTGATGATAGATGCACCAGGTGCAACTGTTTATTGGTGGTGCATCAATCAAAAGATGTTAAGGCTCTAAATTTTAGAAGCATGCTAATCATTAACAGGAGGAAAAAATGTAAGTGAAATTTACTACTAAGGTTACTTGACTGCTTTCTGAATTACTGGAGAACAAATCTGTTCAGTTACTCTTGTTTTAGTACATATTCTAATATCCCTTTAGAGAGTCATTACTGACTTGTATGAAATACAGCTTGAGTATCTAATTATTTGCCTGTTGACTTCGTAAATGTAAATTATGAACTGGTGACAAGTTCTTTAAAATATTATTTGAGATTATTTACCATGTGTATCTTTTAGTTTAATATATTGTCTAGGCATCCTCATTTTGGGGGAGTCATCTTTGAGAAAAATTCATCCCGATCTGCTATATAAACTGTTGTTAGATTGAATATTCTATCAAGCTGATAGGGGGATGTGCTGTTCAACACCCATTCCCCAAAGCTTTATTTCAGAGACAAATTGCAGTACTTATTTTGATGAAAATCACCATTTTTTTATGTTGAATACTTAATTTGTCTGAGGGGTTATTTGTGACTCAGTTTAGTAATGCTTTCATGATTTCTGGTGACATAGGAGCTGACTACTGGGAATAAGAACTTTTTTTTATAAGTAATACTGTGTGCAGTAAGTATTTAAAGCCTCAGTTGTATTAGTTTCCTTTAGATGTGCACAAATTCTCTTTTCCTTGTTTGTTCATATCTAGACCTGGGGCTAGATCCTGAATTTTCTACATCTGACATTGCTTTAGTACATCTTGGAAAGTTGTTCTACTGTGTCTGGCCACTTGGAACAGACCAGGAGGTGTTATTTTAATTGCGAAGGGAAGGGTACGCTGGAGAAAGTGGTGCTGTGTGGGTACTGCTGCTTCCTTGCATTAACTGGCTATAAGAATGTAGCCTTACTGGTTATGAGCTCCTTGAAATGTTAACTTTAGTATAGCGTATGTGCTTCAAGAAATCACACTTTCTTGTAGCTTTTCTCTCCTTCTATAATAGAGTACCTCAAGTACTGATTGTTTTCCAACTCCTATTCTTTTAAATCTTAGTGAAGCAACAATGGTGGGTATAGATATGCAAATAAGGTACTGTTAACTCCAGTGGTGTAGGTGGTGTAAGAACTTGAGCGTGTCAGTTATTTTCTGGTAATTCTCCTTTATTGTCCACAAAGATGGGCACTGTTGCAGATTAATTGACTTGCTCTAAGTTTGCACCTTTGCTGATATTCTAGGAACTTGTTTTTGCTCATACCAGAAACAAATAGTTTTGCCCTGAGTATCATACTGCTGAATGCTGCATCCTGCTTTATACCTTTTAAGTCTTTAGAGAAGTATGCTTGCAGCAGTCTTCTCTCTAGTGTTCTAGTTGCAGACTTAAATGTGGTATTAATATTCATAGAATATTCCTGTAAAGAACTGATTTCAAAAAAATTACTCAGACAGAGAATAGAATATTAATTCATTGTAAACTAATATAGTAAAATAACTCTGATAATCAGCTTAAGAATCTGCTAATCATTGAGTTACTGTTAGTCAAAGGTGAGTGTGCCACGTGAAGGAATGGATGATTTGCGTATGGTGGTGGGTGTGTGGGTGATTGGAGAAAGTGTCTTCCTAGTTGAGGCACAGCCTAGATAGGCATGTCTGGCTTTCTGAAAGCATTAAACGCAACTATTCCTGGACAGATAAACACCACAACTTGTTAACTTTTCCGTGTTGTCTTCTTCCTTTGCCTCTTTCCTTTCACTCCCTCAGTAAAAGGGATTAAATTGTGGATTGAGGATATAACTTATTCTACACTGATAGCTGGTATACAGACCACACTGACTAGACACAGGACCTTTTTAGCTGAGTAACTGTTGATACTGGGCAGTTTGTAAGGAGACTTATAAGTTAGTCATAGCTGGGGACCAGAAGTCTAACTGTTATCCTCAGTAATAGAGGCATTTTGGAATAATTAAATACCTCCTTCCAAATACATGTTGTATTGATGGAATCAAGATTATGTCAATTAGATGGTGTTTTTTTGAACAGGTGTATTTACAAACAAAGCTAAGATAATGCTCATGCCCTATAAAGTCATACCCTATAAAGTCAGTTTTTTTTTTTTATAAAGTCATACCCTATAAAGTCAGTCATGCCCTATAAAGTCAGTTTTTAAATGCATACTTGCTGTTCTTCTAACCACTGAAGAATGAAGATTTAATTTTCTAATGAATTTACTGTTTATTGAATTTTAAGAGGTGACTAGCTTTTATGTAGGTTGAATGGGCATTTCCAGGAACAGATGATGCAGTGATAAATCACTTGAGTGAGTACGTACTTTTTTGGTGAACTGCAGTTGAACTGGATTTTAAAAACATTCTGTATAGTTAAATAACATTTGTATTCTTCCTTTTATCAATGCAACAGGACTATCTGAGTTATAATTTCACTATTTAGGTGTGAATAAAACTAAATATATGAAAAGCTCCAAGAGAATTGTTAGTTTTTGATAGTCAATATAAGTCACTTTTCTATTGCAATTTGTATTTTAATCTTAAATCTGTATAACTGTTTACCAGGAACAGTGCTCTAAGAAACATCATGGGTTGGGATTTTATAGATAGGAAAGAAATACCAAGTATTCTTCAGTCCTTGCCACCTTTCTACATGAAAAATGCAACTCCTAAATAGACTATAGGAAAATGACTCAATTAGAATGTCAGGTAGTTCACTTTTGCTTATTCCTCTTTGGTCATGACTTAATTTATTGTTTTCCCCAGTACCAGGACTACCTCTTGTTGAGTTCTCCTGATAGCCCAGTTCTATGTATGTTCTGCAAGAGCTGGTTGCTTCTGGAATATAGTGGAGTCCTGACTTCTAAAGTTATTTGAAGCAATACTGTGCAGTGCCTGCTTCTATGGTTAATTGGCCAGTTAAAGATTACTATTTAAAAGGTTTGCTTGCTGAATAAATCCATATGTTTGATCCTTCTTGAAGTTATTCCAGAATTCTTTGCAGAAACTTAAAGGTCCAGTGCATATTTCTGCTGTAGCCTTTCTCTAAATGTAATAGCTCTTGCACAGTACTTTCAGATCTTGTTGTTCTAAAAGTAAATGGTATTATTTGTGTGTGGGGGTGAGTTTTTTATGTCTAGATATTTTATTTAGGAAATAGTATGTGAAATACCAAGGGAGTATCAAATAGAGTTGCTTCTTAGAGAAGATCAGGAAAGAGCAAGTTACGAAATTACATAACATAATGTACATAGCATGATGATTGTTAATAATAATTAAAAAATCATGTTTACCCATGATTATTCCATAATGGTATAAGATAATGTAGTTCCTACCTGTGGTCTGGATAGAAAATACCTGCAGTACCTTAAATATCAGTCCATGATTAAAACATCTAGAGTCTGTAAAGATGCATGTATTTAAGCCTATGAGAGATCTCATTGGGTGGAAATCATGCTCCAGTTAGCTTGATAGGAGTTGCTGTTGAGTTCACTCAAGATACAGGATTTTATAGATTTACCTGAAATACATGGCTTGTACATGACTTCAACTATGAAGCAAATTTCTGGTCTGTGAAAATATCCTCTCTAAGAGGGAGGGCTACATACTTGTATCAAGGTGGAACTTTACCAATATAATTTTTTTTTCTTGACAGCTGGAAGATGGACACACTTTATTTGACTATGATGTTGGACTAAATGACATAGTTCAGCTTTTGATACGTTCTGAATCTGAAGCTCCCACCACTTTTTCTGTGACAAATCAGGATGGAGAGGTCAATCCCTGTGCTGTTTCCAACTGTAAAAACAAAGTCAAAAGAGCAGCAAGTAGCAGATCACCGAATCAGCCGTCTACATCAGCTCACTCATTTCTTATAGATCCTGGCATTGGATTGTACAAGGTACGTGTAAGTTTTGAATGCAGGATCCTTATCTTGCACCTACCAGTTTAATTTTATTGCTTATACAAGCACATATCCTCAAACAGTTTTCTTTTATGATCAATTTCAAATTTAAGTCAATGGGACTGAGTGCAGATTTAAAGGTAGGTATCTCTACAGTTCTTAAAAGCTTTGCTGTCAAATGCAGTGTGCAGATTAAACAAATCTCAAACTGAGTTTACAAATCATTTAGAAGCTACAACTATTATATATCTAAATGACAAAAAAAATGTTTTGCGTCCTCAAACTACACAGGTAAATTTGCTGTGATAGAATTCAGAATTTGTTCATGATGTTTAAGACCCAGCTCTGTCAAAAAATAAACGCTTGTTTAAAGCTAGCTATAGTATCATTTTTCAGTTACCCATGCTGGATAATCTGATTTTGTAGGAGTAGCTTAGCTTGGTGGCAGTGTCAAAGCAGAACTTCTTAACTGGGCTCTATCCAAGTTATCTCCTATAGAATCACAGAAGCGTCTCTGTGCTAGGATCTCCAGTGTTGCAGATTTTAGGATGGGTTCATATACTCAGATACAATGCCAGCAACATTTTGTGTGTTCTCTAATAAGTTTACCACTGAAACAGAAATGGCTTTCTGTAGAAAGATAAAGCCAATTGGAATCTGAAGCTATGGGAAAGTTCTCTAGTTTCACCCTATTTATTTATTTGCAAGTATGCTGTGTTGTCCATTAGAACAAAATGGAGAAGCAATTATAAAAGTTTCTATTTGCATTCAGTAGGGTAGGTTTCTTAACTCAACATGAGGAAAAGAGAATGTAAAGAAGGTTCCTTAAGTGATATCACAGGGATCATAAGTTGTACATTTGAGAACTCTTGGGGGGGAATTAATAGTTACTGATGTGGGGTTTTTTTGGAGCTAAACAGTCTAAGGAAAATTAGAATACTTTTAATTCTAATGTTTTTCAGTATTGTATTACAACAAGATAAATTGTGGGAATATACACTTCCTTAAGATTATATGTGATGCAAGGATTGATATTTAATTATAGATTGTTTAAGAATTATATACATCTTATTTCTTGCTAGTTTTGTACCTTACTATTTTTTTCCATGTTATCACTTAGGTATGCACCAAAGGATCAAAAGTTCAATTTAAATAGAAAATGAGTATTTTTCAAATTGCTGGCTAGTTGACCCCTTAGCAGGATGTGCATGTAGGAAATAGTAGCATTTTTCTGCTTTTTCAACTGTTTCTCTCTGGTAAGAAATCTTCATGATAGTGCTTATTTTTCTGGAAAATGTCTGAAATTATAGGAAAAGAAGAAGAGGCTATGACCACCATACCTGTACATCTGTTTCAGTTAGAGGAATGTTCTTATTTAGACCTATCCTCCTCCTGACATGAAACTATCTTAGTATGTCACATAAACTGTTGTTTGAAGTTTTTTTTAAGGATTAGTAGTATATTTTTTGTTATAAATCACTCACGCTCTCTTCTAGTAGCATTCTGTACCATTAGCCTTATAGTTCCATCTCTGAGGAAGCAAGGAATCAAAAAGTCAGCAAATTTAATCAAAATGCACCAGCTTGCCTGCTTCCTACTCAATCTTTTATCCCTATTGTATGAAAGGAAAGAAAAAAAAGCTCTTCAGTTCTTATACTTTTTTACATTTCATATTGATATATGAAATATAAGAGAGGAGGAGGAGGGAGATCACCAAGATGATGGAGGACCACAGAAAATGATGGATTGATCAGAGGAGAAGAGCATTAAACTATATATTTTCAACAATATTAATAGTGATATCAGCTTATCTCTTGGCTGCCTTTTTTAGGCTTAAAAAAAGGGGAGGGGGTTTGCAATATTGTCTCATGTACTTCACTTGAACCCTTTTCATGGAGTCAGCTAGAAATTTTGCTCTCTCTAATCAAATCCCAGATAGAGAAGAAGATGCAAAGTCCCTAACATTATTTTCAGCCAGCTGATGTTTTCAATATGTAGAGAAATATTTTCTGTAGGGGTAGAGGCATTCTGTTCTTTACTGTTTGTAGATGATAATGGGAACATTTTGTTAAAAAGCAATCACTCCTTACAGAGTCAGGAAGCTTTAAGTACGTATTTCAGCCAAGAAAGTAAGTCAAAAGTAGCAAATTTGTTTAATGTAAACCACTTAAAGTATGAATTAAGCCATGCTAGTTGCCTAAAATTATATATAAATTTTTACATTTTGGTGTTTCTCAAGCAATAAGAAATTCTTTAGGTTCAGGAAATCAGAGTCATTTGCTTACAGTTTTTTTTTCTTTAATAGCTGATCCTTGTTTGAGAACATTAGCAAAATTCTGTGCCTCAATTTATCTGGGTCTAGATTCAGCACACCCCTCCCCTCCATACTTGCTGCTTTGTTCTTCAACCTCAATTATATAAATAATTTTGTTTTTATATATGTGTGTGTGTGTGTGTGTGTGTATATAAAAAAAACTTTTCTGATGGAAGTTTTTCTGTCCTTAAAGCAAGCTGTCTCTAGAAGGGCAGTCAGTGTTGAACCTATTTTAAAGAAGTGATAGAGATGTTGAAAATTGTAGATCAGTAATGAAATAATCAGTTTTAGTTACCTTGCAATAATTTTAAATAAATTACCTCCTTACAGTCTCTGTATATGTTAAACACTTGTACTCCAGGTTTGGAAATCAGAATACCTTAGCTAATAATATATTATGATTGCACCTGTTGTTTGATGTTCTTATGGGTTGAGTCTGCCCTTCCCCCAAAGGACTGTTAGTGGGTGGAAATCCTAGTCAACTCCAGTTGAGTCTCACTGTCATAGGTAGGAGACTGACCTTGGTATCTGGTTGGAGAACTGCATCATTATAAGCTCTTTATGAATGTTGTTAAAAATGTATAGGTTTTGGTCTCAGATTTGGGAGTTTTATTCCAAGCCAATTAAAAGTCCTAGGCTAAAGTGTTTGGACTACAGCATGAGATTATTTTTTCCAGGAAAATTTATAAAGCCTGCCTCAGAATCTGAAGGTAAAACATGCACACTTCTTAAAAATAAACTACTACACAGAGACTGCTGTTCTTGCAACTGGTTTATTCCATTCCAGGGCTCTTGGTTCTGTTTTCTTCAGCTCTAGCATATTCAGTGTTAATTCCAACTTCTGTGTCTGTCTACCTATTTTTGATAGTGTCTCCAACACCAGGATCTCTTATGCCATAATTGCCATTAGTTTGTTCTTGACTCTAGCACCAATGGACTTTGAGTTCACTTTTCATTAAGTTCCAACTGAAATTGTACTGGTGGACTTCACGTGCACTGCCTGATGTTTTCAGGTATTTGTACTCCTATGGTGGAGAAGCCAACTTTGTCATAGGTAAAGCAGCTTATTACTGCTTCATACCATGTCATCTGCCAAGCCTGTATGGACTAATTTGGCTTCTGTAGAAAAAAACTCCTTCAGCTATAGGGGAAAAAATCTACTTGGAACTCTGACTGTTACTGGGATTTATTCCTTGAGAAGAAATTAACTTTCTTCCACTGCTGGTGTTGGTGCCTAAATGATAGATAAATCACATAATGAAATCACAGTGGGTCTCAGGGTGGCTAACAGGCTGGTTTTATAATCATAGATATAGGTTCCTCAATCAAGTTAGTCAAACTTTAGAACGAGACCCAGAGAGACTGTGGTATCTCCATCCTTGGAAATATTCAAACTTCAAGTGCACAAGCAACCTTCTCTAACTTGATTGTGAAAACTTTTTTCCCTAAAACCTAATTGGAATATCCTTTGTTGCAAATTGTGTTCCTTGCCTCTCATCCTTTCACTGTGCATCTCTAAGAGTCTGGTTCTATTTTTCTTTGTACTCTCCTGTGAGGTGGTTGAAGAAAGCAAAAAGATTTTCCACTTAACCTTCTCTTCTGCAGGCTGAACAAATCCTCTTCTCTCACCTCTTTTATCATGTACTCCAGCCTCTTAATTATCTTGGTGGCTCTCCATTGAACTCCTTCCAGTATGTTAATATCTTTCTTGTACTGGGGAGCCCAAGATTCAACACAATACTCCAGGTGTGGTTTCACAAGTGCCAAATAGAGGAGAAGGATCACTTTCCTGGAAATGCTGGCTACACTCTTACTAATACAGCCCAGGATGTGGTTGGCTTTTTTTGCTGCAAGGGCACACTGCTGCCTTACATTCAACTTGATGTCCACTCAGGTCCATTTCTGCAAAGCTGCTTCCTAAACAGTCATCAACCTGTATTGCTGCATGGGGTTATTCCAGCCCAGGTGCAAGACTTGGCCCTTCCCTTTCTTGTACTTAGAGTAGAAGTGGACTCATTCAGTGGGTCAAGACCTGGCTGTGTGGCTGGTGTCATGTGTTGCAAAGGGGTTGCCAAGGCTTGTTCAGCCCTCAGACTATTACCCCTTCCTGCTCTTCCATGTGGGCACCAACAGTACTGCCGGGGTAACCTTGAGTGTATCAAGAGTGACTACAGAGCTCTGGGGGCAAGGGTGAAGGGCATGGGGGCCCAGGTAGTGTTCTCCTCAATCTTGCCAGGGAGGGGGAAAGGCTCAGGTACAAGTGGGCTTGTCCAGCAGGTCAACACCTGGCTGTGTGGCTGTTGTCACAGGCAGAACTTTGGCTTCTATGGCCATGGAATGCTCTTTGAGGAGCGAGAGCTACTGAGGGAGGATGGGGTATATTTGACAAAGTGAGGCAAGAGTGTCTTTGAAAACAGGCTTGTTAACTGAGTGAGGAAGGCTTTAAAGTAGGTATCCCATGGGAGGGTTACCATAACCTGAAGAGAAATGAGGGCACAAGGGGCAGAGCAGATGTGTCTGGGGCACAGCATTACAGGGGAGGCTCTAACACTTCCCCTGTAAAAGCAGCACAATTTGGGGCCCATCTCAAATGTCTGTACAGAAATGCATGTAGCATGGGGAACAAGCAGGAGGCATTAGAAGTCCATGCACAGTTGCAGAGCTATGACCTTATGGGGATTAC